AAAAAAGTGAACATCGCGGGACTTTCGGTGCCTTACTTAGTGCTTTGTGTTTCCGATCCCAAATTTTTTATACAATTTGTTATTAGATTTTTTTAGCGTGATCGCACTAGTGGAATTATAGACTTTAATGATTCGATTAGTAAGGATTGCGTTGACTCCAAAGGACTATTTTACGGTAAGTTAATTTTTAATATTCATAAAACTTCTAACCGAATATAAGCTAGTTTTTTTCGCTACTACTATAATCGCATAAAGCTTCTATTTATCTAGCAACTAATATTACAACTAAGTAAACAATTAAACAGAACTATAACTGTTGGCAGTAAATAATAACAACAGCAAGAGTACAATAATATTTACTAGACTATTGTGTTAAATGTTTTTGTCACTTTAGTTAGATACAATATAATACATAACAGGTTTTGTAGGAAAATCTCATTCATTCTATTAATGCTTAAACCACAACATATTATAGGTATCTATTTACATTTTTTTATGAGTAACTACTTCGAGTTATGAATAAAAAAAAAACAAATTTTCGTGTATTAAGTACATACTCGTATATGTCTTTTTTAATCTTAGTGTTTACTGTAATTGGTTTATACAGAAAGGTTCTACTCTAGAGAAACCTCAGGGTGTTAATTAACCATGAAATCCCAGTGTTCATTGGTTGATATTGATTGAACTTGACATACAGTATTTGTATATGTATTCGACATTTTCACCGTTGTCCATTGATACTTAAAGATATGCAACCCGGGTGGTCATACTATTTGTATTAAAATGCTATCCTCGCGGGTCACTCGCCTTTCTGACATGTACCGAATAAATAATCGACATAATGCGAATATCGATGCATTGTTTGATTCGTTCTCATTTTTTAAATCCAATGACAAACGATGATAGATGTAGAGAGGGCGATGAATTGCTTACGATCTTCACGTTGCTTGTAGTTTATTTTATCTAAATTAGTATTTACGTGAAGCAAGTCTTCGTTTAATACTTAATTTTTTTTGTAGCTGTTGCCAGTAAAAAAGAAAAGATTTATTATTCTTTTTAAAATTATCCACCTTTTATAGTAATATTTCTAATGCAAACTTGATATTTTTTACGAATTATTTTTATAATCAGTAATCTATTTGACATAAAACTTCGTTACAAGTGGTACTACACTTACAAAAGGCGATAAATGATTGTTTCAAAGTGGGGCGTAGTATCGCGAACATTATCAGATAAATTCGGTGGATAAGGCCGATATACCTTATCATTAGTGATAAGGTTTGATCTTACATATGTCGTGTTAGAAATTCCTTAAGAAACTAATAAGAAATTATCTGAATTTAAGTTTAATTGTGAGAAAAACTGTTTTCGAAAAACATGGACGAAGAAACAAATATTTGTATCTGTTAAATAGCGGTGAGTGATTTGATAATACGATTATTGAATTGGTTCAGTCAAACTGCACATTTTACTATAATATTTGAATCCATTGTTTTCGTGATGATAAATATTAGAGTTTGGTTTTTTCGAATAATCATTGTTTATATTTCGAACTAATTGCAATGAGTCACTATTTTAATGGTAAACGGTTAGTTCAATATGAACGTAGTAATGTTTTTTTACAAAGGTCAAGTAAATTGACTTAAACATATGACAAACACAACTTGATTTGAGTCATACTTATTTTTAATCTATATAATTTTGACGGTTCTTTATCTTTTAATTTATCAAAATCAATAATACAAAACAATTAAATGAAAAATCTTTGCGACTCTTTTAATGTATCTTGGATAATGTTGAACAGGATGTTATTAAAAGTTTCAAGTAAAATCTATATCTTAGACGAAAAATCATATAAGAATCGTGTTAGAAGGTTAAAGTTTGTTGTAGTTATTGTTTATACTATTTAGTTACTAGGCTATTAGCCTTGTGATTGCAGACCACGACTCAAGGTTACAACCTAGATTTTTATAAGCCCAATAGAGAATTTTGACCAATAAAAAAGTTACCAACAACGGAATTTCAAAAAAACTTTTCAATAACATTGATGTCAACTAACATATTTGTTATTTTCCTCTAAGCATGTAACTCAAATTTAGTTTTCTTTCTTTCTTCAGGATATCCGACATGTATACGTTTCCCATAGTAATTCAAAATTGATAAGAAAATCAAATCAAGTTTATTCTGGTGTAGGCAATACCAAACAAAATTATAAACCATTCATAGTCGTGTTCAATGATGCGTAATCCCGATTAAGATCTTAGATATAAAGCGTTCATGTTATTTGTATTGATCGAGAGCATCCGGAAGGAGGAAGTGTAGCCCAGGGTCGGCTGATGCGAATCTGTGCTCGGGCCCGAGAGAGTACCTGCTTAATATTCTCGCCACTAAAGCCTGTGCAATAATAAAACTTCACAGTGTACGTTGACAGGTAACGTGCGTACGATGAAATCACGTCTTACAATGTTGATCGCTTAACTTGCGTTATAAGACTTTAATCTTCATATAAGCTTGTCACTTTAAAGATCTTGACGTGACGTATATGAATAATAGATTTTAAAGTTGTGTAAAACTAAGGTATAAAAACATCTGTCGAGATCTTTAGTTAGTTTGTTCAAGGTGTGACAAATCGAAATTTAGTATTTTTTTTTAATAATTCAATCTAATAACTGACAATTTAATCTACAGCTGTGGTAAAGAAAACGCAGATATACGTAATCGTATCTTTTATATTATTTTGTAACAAATAAATAAGTCTATTATTGCGTAGACGGATTGTTGATTTTTCAATTCCCCAAACAGTAATTGATGTTTGGTATCGAATTAGAATGGCACTATTGATCTTAATAGGCAAGAGTTGTATGGTAAAAAAAAAGTTTCAATAACCGGTGGGTGGGTTAGGTAAGAGATCCGAAGCCAATGCCGGAGAAACCTGCCACGCTCTGGTGACCGGAACATTGCTTCGACACCCGCCGACACCGATAGCTGCCCGTTCGATTCGAGGTAACGATCTATAGCCATCTTAACTACGTTCACGAATTTAATAAACAAATAATAGACAAATCGGAAAATGGACTAAAGAATAGAATTGAATTTTTATTAAAATATGCTTACAGATAACTGTCATTCCTAAATGGTTTAAATTAATTTAAAGGAAAGAATGAAATCTTGCGATTTCATCAAAGTACAAGAGCATAAGGTACATACTTAAAGCAGTGCTATGGAACATCTCCTTAGTAAATTTTATGACATAAGAACTAATAATGTTTATTCTTTCGACTTTAATTTGTTTTTTTAATCTGTGTCATTTTCCCTTCCTCGGGTCGTTTATCTAAAAGTTAATTGCTGTTGAAAAGTAGCTACTACAAAAAAGAACCTTGGTAACGCTTTAAAGCTAATTGCTTAAGATTTTGTTGATCGATTAGTTCTGCAATTTATTTTGAATATTTGATTTAGTAATTTTCGTTTTTCAGCTTAGCGATATCTCCGATATCAATTTAATTTTTATAAACATCTTTGTCTCGCCTTGTTTATTTTATAATACAAATAATATAAAAGTAGGATTATTAAGTCGATTAAAAACGAATATAATATTAAGTTACATAGCAAATTATTTACATCAATATCAACACAATACAGTAAATTTATTGCTAAATATGTTAGCAATTCTCCAATCTTTTCTAACGTTTCTCTTTAACATATACATTCATAGTTCTCGTAATTAACAACTGCCATAATCTACGGAATGTCCGTAGATAAGATACAAGTATTGAAGGAGTTCTTCAAAAATTAAAAGCGGGCAATATCTTTTTAAACGTTTATTGTATGCATAAACTCATTCGTGTTACCTTTTTCAAGGTAAGATATCAAGCAGCTCTGAAATTTAAAAAAAAAACCTTGTATGTAGTTAAAAAATATCGTAAGTGAACAAATCTTCTCAAATGAAAGTATCAAAGTTCAATTACATCATTATTTATTGTTCCAAAATAACAACTGTCTATTTACGTCAAACTATATTTGTATGTGGCAATTGGCCAAATAACTAATCTACGAGTTCCTATTAAACAACATGAAATAAATACTAACGAACAAACAATAAATATTTATAATAAAAACTACTATCAGTTTGAGTAAATACTTTAGTATTGTAAAAAACACTTTTAATTGTATTGAAATAATTTATCTTTGTTTATTGATGACAAGCCCGCAGAACTCTTATATCGACGAATCTGGGTCAAACACATGAGTGGTTACCACACGTCAAGTGCACAACTGTTAGTCACAGGAAACACGATAAAACAACAAAAAAAGTATAAAAAATTATTGCATTAGGCTAAATTATGATTCTTATGATCCTATTTTACATATGGCAATAATTATATTTAGTGGAATGGACATTTCTTACTTAGTTATTATTTTTTTTCATATTTTAATTCGTAGTTAATTGGTATTAAATAAGTAAGAAGTTAAGGTTTGTCAATTAAATAATTTTCCGTTTTTTTTTTGCCACTTTTTGTAGCTACATCCTTCTAGAATTAAGTGAAAAAAAAATCTAAAAAATGCCATTCTTTTCTACCACGCTATTTGCTATTGACAAATAGATAAATTATAAGTTGATAGATTTTCCTCATTTGTAGCAATAAACCAGGTGATTATTAATTAAAATAATGCGCTACTGTAAAACTGTAAAGTCATTTTTTACTTGGTACCTTTTGCATTATACCATCCAACAGTAGGACATTTAACCTATTGGTTGCTATATATTGTTAGGCTACTAATTATTCCTGCTTTCGACAACCTAATACTCATCTATAAATATAATAAAATTGGAGTATCTATTTGTGATATCAATAGAAAAATTTCAATTTTCGGACAATTGATGCATTTGCGTTGCTGATAACGAAAATCGTATTTTTTT